GGGGGGGGAGGGGGTATGCATTTGAACGATATTCTTCAGTAAAATTCAGAACAAAATACCCCAAAACAACACACAGGTATTTGTTTTCTTGTTCGCCAATAAAGAAAATAAAATGCATTCAAAATTGAAAACAAAAATACAAAGGCTGATACAAGGATGGCTTTATGTTTTTTATTCATAAAATCAGAGAACATTGCGTGCTTTTATATGATGGAATGAAGCTGCTATAATTTTCGATATTTTGACATTTTTCACCATGTACTGAATGCATAGTAACATAAATGTTTTGATCAGTTGCTCATTTTTCTAAAACTATGTTAAGTTTTCACAACCCAAATAACATCTTTAGAAGTACCGGTATTCCATAATGAACCTCCTGCTTTTTTACACGTGAAGAATAGGCTAGTATCAAGTGAGAAAAAGAGTTTGGCATCAAATGCACCTTTAAGCAAAACAAATCAACACAAGTTTGCAGACTGGTTTAACTGTGCGATTAGATCGTCCATAAAATTAAAATAACCTTTATATCTGTGAAAATAACCAACAGTAACGAACTCTTTAAAATGATCCGGTCCAATAAGCAAACGAAGCTCTTTAGATCTCGTGATCTTTGGTCATACTTCCAGGGTACAGACCATTGTGGAGAAATGAAATACATAATCGGCAAAGTAATCTCTTATATTGCTGACGTGCGTGTGCGAACATTGCTTGAACTATAAGACTTTGCAAAGAGCATTCTTAAATTGCATCGTCAAAAAAAAGTGATTCCATCCCTCTGTCGCACATAATTATGCAGAACACATGTTTTGATAATGCTGAGTAGTCGGGGTTTACATTCAAGAGGACGATGCAAAACCCTCTGTGTATTTGCCAGAATTCCAAAAGCACACTCTACCATACGCCGGGCACGAATTCTTAGTCTGCAATTTATAAATAGTCTTTGTCTGCATCAATTCTTTCCTAGGATAGGCTATACTATAGGCGCAACAAAATTATGATCAGATGGAGCAAACACTTTGTCACCAACTAGCAAGAATGGCATACAGTTACAGTTGTACCACCGTCATCACCTAGTAATGCCGCATTTGGGGGCAAATTCAGTTCCCCGTGTTCTAACATTTGACCGAATAATGAGTGTTTGAAGGATATGGAATCACTAAAGCTGCCATACTATGGCAGCTTTAGCGATTCATACCATTCAATGCCAACTGATCTGAAGCAATAGCTGGCGTCCACGATCCTTAAAAGAGCAATTGAAAAGATGCTTTTGTAATTGTTAAATAAGGATCCGCTCTGAATTGGTTGACAAATTCGGACGTGTTCCCAGTCAACTGCACCGACGATGCAATTAGGGAACTATGTCTTGCTGTAATAATCAGTAGCAATTTTCCGTCTGTCAATTTGAACCAAATTTGACATTACAATTGGCTTAACCTTCGCCGACGGTCGTGGGTCGAAAACGACCTAGAGTGTCCAAGAATTGCTTTAGCTGGTCCGCAAAACATGCCCCTGACCTCAACCTCTAATATAATCTATATTTATCATGTCTCACAGCATATTCTTTTGTCGATATTTCATTGTGTGTGTGTTTGTGGGTTCGGGGTGCCTTTTGACATTTCAAACAAAGGAAATACACATGGGTCCCTTGTTTCTATCCATTATGTAATGTATACATGACGTACAAAAATATGATACCTCGGGGGCGGTGCTACAGACTGAAGCGTCTTTAGGCCATTCCCAAAGGGGGACATTAACTTGTTCTTATGCTCAGTAGAATGGTAGATGGGCTGATTCACCAATGTCATGCTAATAACTGTGCCTGAACTGCAACAGAGAACTGCTGCTTTTTCTTTCCTAATTCGTCATTTCCCTCTAGATCTACCTCTTTTGTATGTTTGTCACACTTTTGTGACTCTCTATTTCAGGGATGCCTTAATAGTCGAAGCAGACTTTGTGCTGTTGAAGCAAGAGAGGTGAGCAGAGTGAAACCTCTGCATTAAAAAAAAAAATTTAAAAAAGTATACCGTGTGTTGTTTCTGAAGCAGTGATAAATGGTTTTTGACCCTGATCTAGAACTACCAAAAGATTAATTTAGCAGACTAAACCCACAGTTATTTTACCGTCGTGGCATGCAAATTTGATTAATTGTTACTACATTATATCAAAGATTGTGTGTGTGTGTGTGAGAGAGAGAGAGAGAGAGAGTGTGTGTGTGTGTGTGTGCGTGTGTGTGTGTGTGTATGTGTGTGTG